GATGGATCTACTACGTTGGCCGTTCCGATGAAATCATCGAATGGTCAAAGAAAGCCGAGGAATACAGTAGTGAATATAATTCACTTCTTGGTGATGACCCAGAAAGCTTTTGGGGTGAGGATGAAAAAGATAAAGTAGACGCGGAGATAGGTAATTACGATGATGACGATGACGATGATGATGAGGGTATGGCTCAAGGATATAGCGAGTTATTGGACGTGGTTAAGGAAAGAGGTATAGTTGAGAGTAAAGAGGTTGAGAGCATTGAAGAGTTGAATGAACGTGTTAAGAACGTGGAGGAAAAGATTGGTAGAGTTTTGGAGTTATTAGAGAAAAAGGGAGGTGATCCATAAATTGTTCGATGGAATTCCGAACGCTCAAAAAATGTTCAAATGTAAAAAGATTCTATCATCTTTTTTGTTAAGTTTATTTGATATTCTGATATTATTAAAACAAATAATAGTAAAGCAAGTTAACTACCCCTCTACTCATTACCCCCATCTTTGTATATGATTATTTTTTTTACTATTTATCACAAACAATGGATTTCTACGAAAAATAATTTCTTACATAGCCAACTAATTTCTCGGACTTGTGGCTATAATAGGCCAGAAAAAGTACGATGACAGCACCCAAAACACCTCTAAACAGACTTCTACCTTTCCATCGGGAGAAAAATAACCAATTCGCAATTTTATCGTTTCGTTGAGTATAAGGTGGATACCGAAATCCTATAAACTTTTCGAAAAAGTATGGTGTGTTCATCACCGATCGTTCGTGGGTAAATACATCATAACTTCTCTTCCCGCGATAACTTCCCATCCCTGAATGACCTTGACCGCCGAAAGGTAACGTCATGACTGTTTGCGAAAAGTAAATGTGAATGTGAATTAGATGATGCGAAAAATGAAATGGTCTCCTTTGGAAAATAATGAATGGCTTGAAAAAATCACCAGATGCTTGCATGAGGCAATCGTTGATAACTGTTGCACCGGAACGAGTATTATCAAGAACTATTGAGAAAAATACTAGTTAGTCTCAATGAACGACTAAGATGGAAATAAATACAAGATCGTTGACTCACCATGCTGAATAGTTTTATCACTCCTGCTAAACGGATAGATGGCTAAAGGAATATCTCTAGACCTTACAAATTCAAGAGCCTCCTCAAGATCATTAACAACCATTATGGGAAAAATAGGGCCAAATATTTCATGCTGCATCAATTCGTCATCCTCTGTCACGTCGGAAACGATTGTCGGGGAAATGTATAATTCATCCCTATCCGTAATTCCGCCGTAAATAATTTTTCCACTGGTTTTTTTCAGCATATTATTTAAACGGTCAAATTGTTTCTGATTGATGATACGAGAGTAATCTTTACTTTTCTGAGGATTTTCCCCCAAAAATTCTTTGATTACTCTTGGAAATTCTTTAATGAGAGCTTCTTGCACAGATCTTTCACATATGATGTAATCTGGAGCAACACACGTCTAAAGGTCATGAAATCGATAACAGGTTATTTTACAAAACCTCAAAATGACAATAATGAAAATCTTCAAATGCATACTACCTGCCCGCAGTTAAAGGTTTTGCCCCAAATCAAACGTCTGGCTACAATTGGAATATCTGCATCCTTGGCAATTATCGCCGGACTCTTTCCGCCAAGTTCCAGGGTCACAGGGGTTAGATGTTTTGCGGCCTCAGTCATGATGATTTTCCCAACTCTCCCGGAACCAGTATAGAATATATGATCAAATCTGAATTGTAATAATTCCATCGTCTCTTCACTACCTCCATTCACAACACGATAAGCATTTTGATCGAGATACTTGGAAATCAGTTTGGTAAGTGTGGCCGAAGTGTTATCCGGAACTTCCGAAGGCTTGAGAATTACGGTGCAACCAGCTGAAATCGCGCCTATGAACGGAGCAAGCAGGAGAAGGACTGGATAATTCCACGCGCCAATTATCAACACGGTCCCTGGGATTAATTATTTGATTTAAACAACTTGTAATTCGATGAATCTTAGATTGTTAATGATTATTATAACGGTTACCAGCCGGTTCCCTTCTTATATGACACCCATTTAACGCGTGCGCAATGCCAACTTTAACATATTCTGGTTTTGACCAACCATCAAGATTCTCGATAGCATCTAAAGATTCCTTCTTACACCATGATATCTCTCCGATCATCGTTTCAGTTTTCGGTCTGCGAAGATCCTTGTACAAAGCATCACATATTTCATCTTCATTCTCCTCCAGTAATTTGTATAATTGTCTTAATTGTCTTTTTCGGTAGCTCAACGATTTCGTCAAATTGTTAGTGAAAGACTTGCGAAGATCATCTATTATCTGAATAAAGATTGGAGTGTGCAACTTCAATTTCAAAGTCCTTTCTCTTTAGGAGAGAAAAAATCTCACCTGTGAGTACTCGGCCGTGTTCGTATATGTCAATTGCATGACTAAAGAAAGAAGTGGAGTTTCGTGTGGGAAATTCTCTCGTGGGAAAATTAAACAATCAAAGTTGTAAATTTGCTATTGGAGGCTGCAATAAGGTATATTAATTGCCGATCATTATCCAAAAGGTAAGATCATGAATAAATCAAGTAATAGTCTCTTATGCATATCATACAGTACGTAGGTTCAAGTCCCAAAGTCAGGCCAAAGCCTGACCCTCCATTAAATATTTGAGCAAGATATTTCAGAAACCATTCGCGTCCCGATTCATTTCTACTGAGATTACTTTTTACAATCCACAATTCCCATGTCTTTGATGTATACTCTTCGGTGCATCCCTCAATTTATGATGTGAGAACATTACTGACACAAGAAATGCCGGATAAATAAACACATGTCAATTCTCGATAATTGTCCCGCCACCCAATCCCTAAAATTTATTGTATTTAATTGCTGTTTTTTTTATAAAAAAGCACCTTTTCAATATTATGTACTGTATTTCTATTTAAGTATTAACAGCTGTATTATCAATAAATCTTCTTAAATGATTTAGTTATTAGTGATTCCGGATAAATAAATACAGATCTAACCTCGATAATTGTCCCGAGTGGTACCCATAAGTTTTTATAAAATTTTTTTGAAAAATTAAAAAATATATTATTATTTAATAAATATTAATAAATAATCTTAATTAAAATATTTTTATATTAATTAGTAATATTATTTAAAAATTATGTTTTTTTTTTTTTTTTTTTTTTTTTTTTTTTTACTGTGACCAAGTATAAATGCATGATTTTATTGAATTATAAACAATTTTAATTAGTACATTAAACATCCATTTAAGTTAATGTTAGTCTATTGTATGTTAACTACAAGTTCCTAAAAAACATTATATAAGTGAAAAGAAATTTGCAATAGTTTATGAATGACTTATGCTTATCTATAAATAGCTATGTTGATATAGTTGTTAGTAATAATTTTATTGGCTTGGGTTTGGCAGTGCTATTTGGATCCATGAAACCATAATAGCAGCTTTTGAAGATAATATATTATTGATTGAATTTTGGTTTTGTTATTTGGATCTATAAAATCATAAGGCAATTGTTTAAGAACTAAATAAGATATATGAAAAATTTAATATTTTCATATAACTGTAATTTTAAGATTGTTATACTGATAAGGAAAGCCATTGGGGTATTGTGATATAAAGATTGTTGTTATTATTATTACAAACAGGTTTAAGCCAGTTTGATTGTTGTTGTATTGGATTGCTAGTGTTTGATTGATTGTTGGATATATATTAATCATTTGAAGGGATAGAACTAATTTTGGTTTTTGAGAATAATTGAGTTTTTGTGAAAAATAAATTGATGCAGCACTGTATATTAAGTAAGAGATGGTTGAGAAGATTTGATTAAAACAAGCATTAGATTCAATAACTTTGCTTAAATATGATTTTAAGATTAAATTTGTGATAGTGAAGAATAATAGGAAGATGGTAATAATAACATATAGATAATATGAGATATATAAAAACAGAATTATGAAGGAGGATTATCACAAGTAAAGATGGGTCTCTAAATTAAAGACGAAAATATAATTTAAATATAAGATCAAAAAAAAATCACTTACAAAGGTTTTTTGCAATTTAGGCCACTTGATTCAAATATTTTTTAAATTATATCCTTATTAAAATAATAAATAATAATTATTTTTCTTTAAAAGGGACATAAATAATCTGTAAAATTTTTATATACTAAATAATTTAGGGATCCATCTTTAGTTACAAGTCTTTTTCCATATAAACAAAGAGCAAACAAGACTTTCAAACTTGCTTAACTTTTGCCTAGAGATCTTATCTCAATACAACAGTAGTCTTTAAAGTCCTTATATCTTTAAGCTTATAGTATAAATAGTATATTAAGAGAATGAAAAGCACTTCTTTAAAGAAAATTACCATAAAAGAAAATTTTCAAAAAATCAGTAGTGAATAGATAAAAGTTTTTTTTTTTAAAAAAAAATTATATTTAAAAAATATATTATTTTTTATTATGAAAAAATATATAAAAACATATAAAATTAAGTTATAAAATAAATATTTAATACTTAAAAAAAATTATTAAAAAAAATTTTAGTAATATAATTTATAAATTAATTATAAGTAAAAATAATTTTATAGTATTCAAGTATTTATATTTAAATTTTTATTTAATTTAAATAAGTTTTTATTAAGTTAAATATATTAAAAAAAATTATAAAAACTTTCGAGTACCATTATAGTATAGATTATATATGTGATAGAATTGAATTCAATTATTTTTTAAAAATCATATTATGGTAGAATTACTAAGTAATATATAGTAATTAATTGAAATTCATATTTAATTTGGAATCATATTTTTGATCAAATTTTCTTTTATAGTAATATAACTACATGTATGATATAGATTATAACCATTCAATAATAGTAACCAATTTTTGTAATTAGGCCATATAATAATAAAGGCCAATTTTTGTAATTAGGCCACATAACAATGGTTAATTTCTGTGGTTAGATCATATAATAATAGCCAATTTCTATAGTTAGATTATATAATGACTCAACCAATTTCTGCTATATGATTATATGATAACGATAACAAATTTCTATAGTCAGATTATATAATAATATAGTCAGTTTCTATTATCAGATCATATGATAATAATAAAATAGATTATGTTATTGGATTGATTGTTTTTATTATAAGTTTGATAGATTAATAACAATTTATATATTACTTATAAGGCAAATATTAAGAATATATATTCTTAAATATATTAAAATAACTGAAAAAAGTTATATTATCAGGTTGGCCTCATTATGTATTTGATAATTAGAATATGATTATATTGTTATTTCTAGTCAAAATATATGCTATTGGATATATTGCAAATGTGTTATCAGATATATTATATATACTGTAACAATTTTTTTGTTTTACTACACTTGCTGTATCATACAACACATGATCAGAACATATCAGAATATCCTGGAATATTTGAAAACACATCAGAATTTTCTGGAATATGCCAAAACCTTGAAACCTTCTGAAATTTTATGAAATACTTTGGAATATTATTAATTATTTTTTATTACTAATTATGTTTAATTACATTTATACTTATTTAGGAAATAGAAGATTATTATTAAGTATATATAACATTTATTATATTATTCTTTATTTCTTATTTTATATTTATGATACATAAGCCTTTCAGAAGAATCAATAAAGACTTGTATATTAATAATATATATTTTTATTTATGTATTTTTATATTATTTATATAATGGAAAATAGCTATAAAAAAGAGGTGCCTTTTTACTTTTGTAAAACTCAGATTTGTATTTCACTTTTGAGTTAATAAAATATAATTATTTTTTGAATAAACACTTGTGTCTTTTTTTGTAATTTCTTTTTATCAAATTATAAGCTCAGTTTTAATATATTTAAATGCTTATATCAGCAAATGTGAAAAATCTCTATATCAAGTATTATAAAGTAGATACTGTTAAATGGTATAATTCTAAATAGGACTCTGAAAAATATTGAATCAGTATCAAAACAATATTGAAATAGTATCAATCTATAATAAATTTAATATATGGGTTATGACCCACTTATATAAATTTATAGTAAATTTAAGTATCGAACAGGTATTAAACAGGTATCAAAGTGGTACTATTAGGAGCTCTAATCCTAAATATTCTTGGTACTGCACTGAATATACCAAAAATGAAAAAGACGAAATTAAACCACTTGTATCTATAGAAAAAAATCCACTACTAGCTAGAGAATTATTTATTTGGATCTAGAAAGCAATTTCTAACAAATTTTATTTTTAATAAGAGATAAAAATGGTGATGTAAATGTTCGCCCAATTAATAATTTTCTAGCAATTCATGGAATAAGCTCATCACATTTGAGAAAAATTGATTCTGAGCATGCTATTATTATTCATAGAAATAAGAATGATTCCAAACATAAACATCTTTGTCAATTAGCATTAAGACACAAGGTAATTAATATCACATCGGATCATTATAGAATAATGAATAACAAATCAAATACTCCAGCACCTAAACAAGAAAACAGTGAGATCGAGGATATTATCAATTTATATGGAGAAATTTTTGATGAGAACTAATCACATTTCTTTTCTTTTACCATATTTATAGTAAAATCTTTATCATTAGACCATTTATAACTAGATCCAGATGAAGATGAGGATGAAGACTCAGATATGGTATTATTTAAAATTTTCTTTTTTCTTTTAGCCTTGTATGGTATATAATTTCTTCGAGATATATTTGGGTTTGCTATTAAGTAAATAATCTCTAGTTCAATCTCAGGTTTTACTATCTCCAGTAATTGGTGAAGAGAGATCCAGATTTTTTTATTCGATACTTGCTTAACAATACAAGATACCACTTTATCAGTAATATTGGGTAAATTTTTATCTTTTTCAAAACCTAATTTTTCGCAATCGTATAAGTAGTAATTGGACATTCTTGATCTGAAACAATTATACTCTGTTGCTTTAACATTTCTTCAATTTTTTTATAGACACTTTGTATTGTCTCAAGATTATCAGCTTCGGTCATTGTAATTGTTAAGTTATTTTATAAATACACAATAAAAAAAAATGCAGAATTAAATATATTATTATAATAAAACATCACAATGATAACTTTATCCTGCGAAATTAACAAAGTATCAGTTACAGCTATATTAGATTCCGGTGCTAATTGTAATATTGTAGCTGAGGAGTTAGTAAATGAATTAGGTTTAAAAATCGATGATATCTCTGATGTAGAAATATACTCACCCATTGGCAAACTCAATGTAGTAAGAGTAATTTGTGAAATCCATATTTCAATCCCGTCTCAGGGCCCTAAATGGAAACAAGTAGAAGTTACCGATATTTTTGTTGTTAGTATTCCTGAACCTATACTGATGTTGGGTCAGCTATGGTTCCAGGAAAATGCAATGAAAGTGAACTTTCCAAATAAAACTCTTACATTGCTCGATGAAACTAGTTACGAGATTAAATGTAATTAAGAATATCTGAAAAATTCATAGTATATGCACCTAAAATTAATTATCTGAACATTAGCTGTTTTTTCTGATTAAAGATATATAATATATAATTTAAGAATGATACAACTATTGCGAAGAAGGCCGTTAGGTGATGAATTGGAGATTCGAGACTCTGTCTCTTCAAAGAATTATGACCCAAAGGATCTAAATATTTTTAATTTATCAGAATTACTAGAACAGATCTTATATTTTTTAGAAATTGATCGATCCCTCTATCCCGCTTTGTTTGTTAATCGGTTTTGGTATCACTGCGGTGCTCCTATTCTATGGCGTCGCGTTGAGTTTTTCAATGAAGATTATCAGCAGAGTCAGCGTGCCTTAAATATGTCTCGGGCTCTTACTCGGCGATTGATAAACTTTGAAAGAGTTATGCGTAGAAAAATAAAGCCACTCTATTGTTCAAAGATGGTATATCTCAGATTGGAAGGTTTAAAAATCTCGGATGCTTTAATAAGTACAATTCTGCATTCATGTCCGGATATACGCTTTCTCATTCTTGATAAAAGTAAGGGTTTCACTAACATACCAATTATAGAAATTGCAAGATATTGCCCAAAGCTATTACATCTGAGTCTTAATTCATGTATATGTCTCACTAATCGATGTATCACTGAAATAGCGCGTTCTTGTCCAAAATTTAAACATCTTGAGTTTGGCGATTGTTCGATTAGTAATAAAGCTCTTGAGGAAATAGCCCGCAACTGTAATAATTTGAAATATCTTAGTTTGGAGGGATGTAAAGGGATTAGCGAAGAAGTGATAAAGAAACTTAATTCAAAAATTAAAATTAAACATCCAGATTATTCTGATGATGAATTCTCGGATTCTGATCTACCCCCACTTATTCCAGATTATTTCGATGATGAATTCTCCGTTTCTGATTTACCTCCACTTATTCCAATCTTTACTGGTCGACTAAATGGGATAGCTATAACCAGGACCTTTAGAGACTACTATTTGAGCCATATATCAGATGAAACAGATCTTATTTCTGCAATTATTAATCATCTCAGAGAGAATCCTCCAACGCGGGTTATAAATGATTATATTTAGCAGTGGAGAATGGTTAATTATTTACTGAGTTATTTTTTTGATTAATCTGCAGACTTATATCTAAGTATCATCAAATTCAATTCGAAATCGGTAGTCTATGCTTTCACCGTTACTATTTGGATTGAATTTTGATAGGCCTCACAGCATTGCAGACGATAAGTTCTTGTATTGACAAAAT